GATTCGCAGGAGTGGACATACTACGGCGGGGGTTGCCACCAGCCGTTGATGTTCTGGAAGATTTGTTGTTCTTCCAATCCCTGGAATATGTATGTAAAGCCTTGCACCGTTCACCATTGCGACAATTGCCTTTCTTCCATGCAACGCACACGTTGACCTGAGATCGTGTCTCGTGTTCGTACCGTAGCTTGTTTTGATTCTTCTCCAATTGTTTAATCTCCAGTATGTCCAGGACACGCTGTCGAAGCCAACCGTAGGTACGATTCGGGTCGCTCATCTTCATGCGCTGGTACTCGTACATGTCTTGTTTCATCCATGCATGTCTACGAATCTGTGTGCGGAATAGCGATTCCAATATCTTTGGATCGGGTACTTCTCGGCATTCCAAGAGTAAGGCGTCCCAATCGGTAATGAAACGTTGCAAATCTTCGTCTCTCATCCTCAGTTCTTTAAGGCGCTCGAAATCGTGCAGGTCGTCGTCGACGTCTGTCACTTTGTAGGACTGTAGGATATGCCAGTATATCTGGCGTCCTTTGAGCATGCGTCCTGCTTTGTGCTCTCTGGTCTCGATGAGCCTGATTTGGTAGCGTAAGTCTGAGGATAAGATGTCGCTCAGAGCGGTTGCGAGTTTGCAATCGATGCTCTCAAAGTCTCCACTGTCTTGTAAATCCTCGAATGTACATTCGGGCTGTTCTGCCACGCATAGGAAGGCGTATGCTTTGGATGGTCGCCCTGAGGCGGCCCCGAAGTTCTTTCGCACTCTTTGCTGCCATTCCAGCAGCTGCGTGATCTTAGGCAAGACAGGTACTCGAACGGTGTCTGACTCCTTGATAGGCGTCGTTGTATGTACCGACACCGCAGACACTGGTTGTGAGGGTATCGGTGCACCGTCGATGGTTGGTTCTGTGCGCACAGGAGACACATGTCGTGTCTGTGCAGAAACTGCCGCGGAGGCTGCTCCTGGAGATGTACGTCGTTGTTGTCCTGCTGAAGCTTGTGGTGCTTCGGCGGACGCTGCCGTCGGCCTGTGCGGGTCGGCTGCAGGTCGAAGGTGAATGTTGGTGTCGTTAGTGTGGTCGATCAGCTGATTCGTCCAGCTCGTCATGTCTTCTTGTATTTGACCCACCTTTTGGCGTGTGTACTCATCAGTATCCCGAGAACGTTGTGAATACCGATCAAGTCGATGCTCGCATGCTCGGAGACGGGCGCTTTGTGCCTCCACTTCGCTTTCCAGACGTGCGAGGTAACTCTCTACACGTACCTTCTCAGTATCTCTTTCATGAATAACCTGGGAGAGCTCTAACTGCGTGTGGTCCGCCGCCTTCTCAACCTCCTGCAACCTGTCAGTGAGGCGGGCGAAATCGTAAACCGTGGGAGGAGAATCCAGCTGATCAGTCTGGGCTCGTCCGACACGCAACTCTGCCAGGGCGTCCTGTACACCAGGGAAACGCTGCTCTATGTCAGAGATCCGGTTAGCGAGTGGCTGCACGACAGCGTTGGTCGCATCAAGCCTTTGAGTGATGACTCTCTCAGTACGCTGCAACATGTCGATCAGGTTCGACGAGTTTGTGTGTGCTTCGGTACGAAGCGTCGCCGTAGTGTGGTCTAGGTAAGATCGAAGATCATTGATCTGAGACTGAACGTCGCCGAGGTCTGTGGCCTCGGTTGGGGTTGGTCGGTTACGGAGCTGGTCGTGGATCTCATCGTGTAAAATCCTGACCGCAGAAATGCCTGTGTCGCGTACGATCACAAGTTGTTGCTCCATCTGCGCGAGATAGTTGCGCAGGTTCTCGACCATCGCCGTTCGTTCACCTGAGTGTGACACCTCACGATCAACCTGGTACTGCAGTTCTCCTATGATGCGTCTATCTTCGGCGATCCTGGAATCGATGATCCCTAAGGCGCCGTCAAGATCGCGGCGTATGGCTGCAGTATCCGTGGCATTCGTCTGAACGCTCTGTAGTAGTCCAGAGTATTGGCTGGACACGAAGGTTTCAACCTGGTCTCTGAGCTCAGCTATGTCGCCTGCGGCGGACGTCTCCGCCGGCTGGTCGTCTGAGATGGAGAGGTGGGGAGCGTCAGCTTCCCTGTGCCCCCTGTCGCGGGGAGTGCATGGCCTCTGATAGGCAGTGCGCGGGCTCGACCTGCTCTCGCCGTATGGGCCTGGGGCTCCACGGCGGTTGCGCGCGGACGAGCTGCGACTCGGACCATGTGTGTGTGATGTCTCATCCGATGATACCTTGGGGTACCGCGTCTGTGGCTGTGCCGACACTGGTCTACTGAGTTCCTCGAAGGTAGCTACGTGCTCCGCCACAGGGACGGTCGCAGGGCTGGCGGTTCCAGCACCTGAGGTCCATCGGCGGTTAGCGCGGAAGCGCCCTGGAGTATCGAGACCGGTAAGGCTTTCGCCTGACGCGGTTGGGATTGCTCCCGACAGGGAAGGGGAGGGAGGATCAAAGGTCGGCGTGTGGAACTCCTTCCTTCCTGTTCCTACTCCTTCTCCTGTCCCCCCGCGGGCGGCGCTGCGGCGAAGTTCAGCAGCTAGACGCGCCTCGGGTCCTCGGGAGCTGGGGGGGGTATCGGGGACACCAACACAGTCCGCATTAATGCTCTCCAACTCGTCACCGAGCCGTCGCACCGTGGGAGAGCTTGGACGCGAAGCCCCAATGGAACCCTTACGGCGCATGCGCCGAAGCGGCTCCATTGGGCTCGCATGCAAGGTCACCGCGGGCGAGTCGGTGAAGGTGAGCGTTAAAGGGCTGATAACCTGTGTATGGGGTTGAAGTACAAGAGTACAGAACCCCTGATCCGTTGGTAGAGAGATGGAGGGATAGATGGATATCTTTCCCTCCCAAGCGATCAAGGTACGATCGCTCCAACTCAGTACCTGAGCCCAAACGGCCAGGTGCGGGAGAGGTAAGGATAAGGAGTATATATGAGGGTATTACACGGGTTCCATACACAGGACCTGCCCTCCGCCCCCGGGAGCGCTGGGTGGCTGGGTGCCTGCGCGGGCGAGCGGGGCGCCGAGATCGCCAAACCTCTGAGCCGCGGCAGGCCGGCGCGCCGGGCGGGGGCAGGCCTCCAGCCGCAGTCGCGCCTCCGCCCGCTGGGTCCGCGCGCGCCACGCAGGAGAGAGCCCAGGCTCGAATCGACACGTCTCGGCATGAATCGGATCGGCGGAAATCGGCAGCCGAGTCGGGAGAAGTCGCGTTGGCGTACATCGGCAGGCAAACAGGCCTCGGAATCCAGATCGGAATCCTTAGCCGAATCGGATCGGGATCGGAAGCCATCGAAATCGAATCGAAACGGAGGAATCGAAACGAGCTCTGCCGCGTGCCCCTGCCCAGGCATGTCCTCCAATGCCGCCAGCTCTTCGGGAGAGAGGGCAGGGCGACCAGCCACAGCAGTGTGGCCATCAGCGCTCCTGGCAGGCGCTCGGCCGCCACCATGCTGGCGGCCTCGCGGGCGCTCGGCCCGGCCTCCGCCGCCAGCCGCGCGATCATTCTGCCGCTGCCGCCGGTGGCGCGCGTCACGGCGCCGCTGCTCGCTGCGGGAGGTACTGCGCTCGCCGGACGATCCCGAAGCATTGGATCTCGAGGGATCGCCGCATCCGCAGCAGCCGAGGCGGCGACATCAGCCTTGCGCATCGCGTACGGACAAGCGACTGGTCAGTGGCCGAAATGAGGTCCCTGCAGGTGGGCCGTGGGAGGACCCTTGTGAGCAGGATGGATCCGTCGGCTATGTCCGAGTTGGAAGCCCCAGGGCGCGGTTTCCAATTTGAGCCACGATGGCTACGGTGAAGGATGTAAGGAGGAGGAGGAGGAGGAGGAGGAGGAGGAGGAGGAGGAGGAGGAGGAGGAGCTGGAGGAGGAGAGCAGGCATCGGGACGAGCTCACGCGAGCAACAGTGCTGGGAGGGGGGCAGATGGCGGGGGCAATCGTCTCACACCCACCCGCCCCGCAGCAGGCATTCGCGCACGGGCGCTTGCAGGATGGGCGCGGCTGCATCTGGAGACGCCGCTGCCCGAGACGGCCGGACAGCGTGACTAGCGCGCAACGCACTCTGGGCACCCCGCCGAATACTCTCTGCAGTGCGCTCAGAAGGTTGGTGGCTTGTGCGCTGGCGAGGTAGTCCGAACAACTCTCCAGTGCGAGTAAGGAAGAAGTTGTGGGCTACGCGTCCAGAGGGGACATGGCTGGCGCCAGATCGAGAACAGCATTCGTGAGTTAGTCGCAGACGTCTCTGGCGACGCCTGCGCCCAGCAGAAGCACTGTGCCCGTTGCGTGAGTAAGGAATGTGTGAAGCAGTGTCAGGCGGTTCCTGTGCCCGGATGAAACCTGCCAGCGGGTGGATGGGGGTGGGGGGGAGGGAGAGGCAGCGGTCTGGCAGCGAAACTGGAGCTCGAACACTCCTTCGAAGAAAAATGGGGGCGTGACCATCCGAAAGCATCTGACAACCGTTATGCTACGAATGCCAAAACCGAGCAAAAAGACAAGCGGCAGCTCAATATCGAAAAGAGAGAAGGAACGAACAACACCGCGTCATAGCACATCCGTGAAGCAATCCTGAGAGCACTGCCAACGCCTGCAGCACGCACGCATACAAGCGTGGACGGCACAGATGTGGACACTTGACACTGCGCCTGTTCTTCCTGCGGGACGGCCTGCAGCACAGACGCGCGGGACAGGAAAAGGAGAATTGGGGGGGACAAAGCGGAGGACAGGGCGGGGGGAACGGAGGCAATGGCGTCGTGTGTGCATCCCCTCTGGCCCATCCGACCACCCACAGAATTTGGCCTCACGCAGAGCCAAGACAACGCCCACCACAGTGCAAATTTATTCCACGCGGCGGCACGGCGACAGAAGTGGATCCCATGCGGCGACGCAAATTATAGGAAAAACCAAACTTCCATCACATCCCTTTGCGCGCGGACGCCCCTGGTCCAGAGGTCCAAGCCCTCCGTGTCACGTCCTGGCGGGGTGCCCATGGCTGGCGTCCACTCTCCCAGCTGGCCCGCAACGCCGCCTCTGCACCGCCGTCGATGCGGCTGCTCTCCAGGCGCACATCGCGCAAGCCGGGCATGGCGGCGCCTCGGGATCCACGGCGCCCGCGCCGGGGCCATGCGCGAAAGGGAGAGCCGCGGGAGCGTGGAGACACCAAATGCCGCTGCTCCACAGACGTGCCCAGCGGGGGCGACGATGGGGGCGAGTAGCCCAAGGGAGGGCAGCGCCCCCGCCAGCGCCCGGGCGCCCGCGTCGCTACGGGCGCAGTCCTTCAGGATCAGCTGCTGCAGGGTGAGCATGGAGGGCAACGCCCCCCCCCAAGGCCGCGGCGCCTGCGTCGCCCATGCTGCTCTCGTCAAGCCACAGCTTCCGCTGGGCAGGCATGGAGGGCAGCGCTCCCGCCAGGGCCTCGGCGCCCGCGCCGCCCACGCCGCTGTCTGATAGACTCAAGAGCCGCAGGCCAAGCAGGGAGGCCAGCGACTCCGCCAGGGCCTTGGAGCCCGTGGCGCCGATCGTACAATGCGCCAGGTGCAGGTGCAGCACCTCCAGGCGGGCGCACCGCCGCGGTGGACTCGGCCGATGGCGTCAGCGCGGCTGCTGCCGTCGGACTGGCCGCGGAGGCTTCGCCACGGTCTTCGGCTTCGCCACAGCTCTCTGAGAGGCCGCCTCGCGCGCGGGCGAAAAAACCAGCCGCGAAGCCGCGAATGGGCCGCCGCGATGCCGCCTGCCAGTGCGTGCGCTGGCCCGCAGCTCGCGCTTTCACCAAGCAGGCCCCTTACGTTCCGTTTCCACTGCTTCACCTCATTCCCTCCGCCCCTCCCTGTTCATCCACCTCTTCCCCTCCCTGCCCCAGCCGTCCCTTCCCTTGCCAGCCCACGGCATCTCCTCTGCACCGCACTCCCCTCTCCCCTGCCCACGCCTGGGCGGGCTTCTGCCACGTGTACATGATGGTCTGGTCCCAGCCCTGCTGCGGAGAGAGCCACGGCGCGGCGGGGCGCAGAAGATGGAACGGGGCAGGGGCGAATGCACCACGGACTGGCCACCTCACGGCGGGGCGGAATGGCCGCACAAGAGGCCACAGCGCTGCCGAGGAGGCCCGACGCTGGGGTCCAAAGAGGGTCCCGTACCGACGCTCACCCGCGAGCGCAAGAGACGCACGGGCTGCGCGCAGCGCTCGTAGAACTCATCTCCTCCGGGAAGGGCGTCAGCCTGCCAAAGGCCACAAGCTGCTCGAATTTTGCCCACGGTGATGCTTGGGGACTGGGGCGTGGTTCGTGCGTCGTGCCGAACTGTGGTGTGACAGAACCAGCGGCGCGACAAGCTAAGCAAACGTTCCTGACAATAGTCCATCGGCCGCAGATCGTTCTCAGACCATGGAACTCTGATGTTCTGGATGAGCGGGCTTTTTTTAGGACGAGGGAGCGTGAAGACCTGGATAGATCGAAGACTGCCTGCACGCCCCTGGCCATTGTCCCATCCGTCCCTCTCACCTTCCTCACCTCCTCCTCTTCCTCGCGATCCGCACTCATCCGATGATTCTGCCAGAATTTGAAAGCACTGGGTGGCCTGATTGAACTTGTAGCCGCCCCAGTCATGATTTCCGAGCACGCCCAGCCACTGCTTGCCGTCGAGGCCAGGACCAGCATACATGCCCTGTGGGAAGAAGAGGAGGGTGAGGAGGAGGAGGGGCAGGAGGAGGAGGAGGAACAGGAGGAGGAACAGGAGGAGGAGGAGGAGGAGAAGCAGGAGCAGGAGCAGGAGCCGGAGCAGTAGAAGGACGACGTCGACGAGGAGGACGACGACAATTCCGCCAGAATAAACAACAGGAAGACTGGGACAACTTTTCAACATTTCCCAACTCCACTTCGCTCAGTTCACTGCCGACATGCTCCCCGCCTCCCGTGCTGACTCATCGCGTCCGCTCTGAATATGGGGCTGTTCTACCCACACTCTGAAATTCCTTCGGGTGGGCAGCGGCGATCTCGATGCTCTCTGGAGCTCCGCACCTCCTCCTCCTCCTCCTCCTCCTCCTCCTCCTCCTCCTCCTCCTCTCTCATTATCATTATCACCATCATCATCAGCATCATCATCATCATCAGCATCATCATCATCATCATCATCATCATCATCATCATCATCATCACCATCACCATCATCATCAGCATCATCATCATCATCATGACCACCACCACCATCATCATCATCATCATCAACATCATCATCATCATCACCACCACCACCACCATCATCATCACTACCACCACCACCACCACCATCATCATCAGCATCATCATCATCATCATCATCATCATCATCATCATCACCACCACCATCATCATCATCATCATCAGCACCAGCATCAGCATGATGATCATCATCATCATCATCATCAGCAGCAGCATCATCATCATCAGCTTTATCATCGTCATCGTCATCATCAGCAGCATCAGCATCATCATCACCATCATCATTATCATCATACTCATCATCAGCATCATCATCGTCAATATCATAATCAGCATCAACATCATCATCGTCATCAGCATCATCATCATCATCATCATCATCATCATCATCATCATCATCATCATCATCATAATCAGCATCATCATCACCCTCCTGCCGGTTTTGCCCCTCCTGCCCCTCCTTCTCCTCCTCCTCCTTCTCCTCCTCCTCTCCTCCTCCTCCTTCTCCTAATCGTCCTCCTGCCTGTTCTCCTCCTCCTTCTCCTCCTGCTCCTCCTACTCCTCCTCCCCGCCGCTCCTCCCTCCTCCTCCTCCTCCTCCTCCTCCTCCTCCTCCACCCCCTCCTCCTCCTCCTCCTCCTCCTCCTCCTCCTCCTCTTCCTCCTCCGCCTCCTCCTCCTCGTCCTCCCCTCCTCCTTCGCCTCCTCCTCCTCCTCCTGCCCCTCCTCCTTCTCCTCGTCCTCCTCCTCCTCCTCCTTCTGCTGCGTGTGCCCCTCCTGCGGCTTGTCCTCCTGCGGAAGCCGGGAGCGGGAGGGGCAGACGCAGCAGAGCCATGCCAGGAGTGTGCCCATCTACACGAGAGCGAGACCCGAGCTGCCTCGGAGCACGCGGCGAAGAGGAGGAGGAGGAGGAGGAGGAGGAGGAGGAGGAAGAGGAAGAGGGAGAAAGAGGGAGATGAGGACGATGGTTATGAGTATGATGATGATTATGATGATGGTGATGATGATGAGGAGGAGGAGGAGGAGAAAGGGGGGAGGGGAAGTGGAAGGAGGAGGAGGAGGAGGCGGCGGCAAAAAGGCAACCCTTCATGGGCCCCAATACTAACATTAATCCGCTGGCCCGTCAGGAGCCATCAGGCTGCGTGGCGGAGGTGTCCTACTCCCTGCGCCAATTGCAGGTTCCAATTTCCAGTGCGATAGCTCTGCTTTCTGCTTCCTACGGCAGTTGCAGGTTCCAGTTCCCAATGTGATAGTTCTACGTTCTGCTTCTCACTGTAAATTGTTGAATTCCGCGCGAGGGGGGGGGGCCGAAAAGGACCCGGCTACCACGCCCGGATCGCGTGCTCTGAATTCCTGCGGGGCTGTGGGATACGTAAAAAAACTTACTAATTCACGCCCCCCGATGATATAAACCGTTGTGAATTATGCGACGTGCGCGCCCCCGAGGCCATAAACCTGCGTACACTATACGAGATTCGCGATCCCAAAGCCATAAAACCTTCGTAGGTTATGCAATATTCGCGTTCCCGAAGCCACAGATTTTTCTAAGTTATGCAATATTTGCATCCACGAGGCCACAAACATTCATAAATTATATGAGATTCGCGTCCCCGAGGCTATGAAACCTTCGTGAACCACACCACCCCGAGGCCACAAACCCTTGAACATTATACAATAGCTGCGTCCCCGAAGCCACAAAACCCTGCGAATTACACAATATTTGCGTCCCCGAGGCCACAAAAGCGGGTTGGACGGACGCATCGCAGAACAACCGGTGCCGCTCCCACCCGCCGACCGCCCCCTTCCGCCCCTACTGCGACGATGCTCAGCCTTCGCGCGCGCGCTGGGCGACTGCTTTGAAGAACGGTCTGCACTGAACGTGTCGCTTCACTGTCGCGATACTCTCCCGAAGCTTCAAGCCGCGACGCCACGCGCACAGAGCGCAAAACGAAAGATTCACGCCAATCCTGGGCCCAAGACTTCTAAGAAAACCCCACACGCTGCCATGAGGCCGAAGTCTGATCAGTTGCGCGCAGCACCATGCACTGTCGGATAGCAACGTTTAGATTGCAAGGTCCTCGGAATGAAGGATCCGATTCAGGCTTGCAGTGCAAAGCGTAACGTACGACATTGGCCATCGCTCGGGGTTCCGACACTGCTTCACGACGGCACCCAGGCCTCCCCACACAGCTCTTGCACATACCATTATTTGAAGTAGGGGGCCGGCGGCAGGAGGCGAAGCCCTTACGGATTTTCACTAAAAGAAATGCCCCGTTGGAAGACAATCGTTTGATAATCTGCCAAAACACCATTCCTACATCAACGCTGCGAATCACCGTTACGGTTGCGCCTTGACGACCCTGAATCGTGCCAGAACGCCGTTCCTGGGACTTCAACACCGCGAATCAACGGGACTGCTGCGCCCAGACATTTCGTCCACCATGCGCTTCCGTGACACTTCTGCAAACTCTGAAGACGAATGTGCGCGGCGCTAACGCGAGAACCACATGTTGAAAATGAACCGCACTCCATCCGTGAAGCTCTTGCAAATGTTTACAACGAATGTGCGTGGCGCTGAGGCGAGAACCACATTTTGAAAATAACCCGCTCTCTATCCGTGAAACTGTTGCAACTGTTGGAAAAGATTGCGCGCGGCGCTAAGGCGAGAGCCACATGTTGAAAGCGGCCCGCCCCCCACTCGTGAAACTGCTGCAAAGATTAAGCTTCAAGATCATACATAGTGGGGATATCCCAGGCGAAATGCCTGGTCCGCTCTTTCGAACGGCCTCGGGGGAATGGAGGAGGAGGAGGAGAAGGGAGGGGGGAGGACAAGCTAGGTGCGTTCGCGTCATATCTGACGTTCTACCCCTCCCTCACACCCCTCACCATGGCGTAGATCTCTTCTCTATTCGCAGAATCGGATGTCGTAGCATGGCGCGCATGGCATAACATGGTGTTAAAGATCAACGCGTAGCATGACATAGCATGGCGTGGCGACGCCCCAAAGTGGGGGGGGGGAACTTCTGCGACCCCAAAATTCAACGAATCAACACCGAATGTGGAATCACTTCCGATGGCTGGGCCGCGCCAGGGCACCGCCGGAGGCGCGCTCCCCGCGTCGGGGACGCAGCCGCCGTGGCTGCGGCCGCGGCGCCGCCGCCGCAGCGCGAGATGGCTGCCCCCCCAGCGTCCGCGGCGGCGCCGCGCCCAAGGGCAGCCGCGGCGGTGCGGAACCTCTTCGCAGGCCGCGCCTGGCTGGCGCACACGGCGGCCCAGGGCCTCGCCTGGGTCGCCTGCATGCGCTGCGGGTGCTGGGCGCCGACGTGGCCGCTGCTGGCCTGCCGCCCGTGCGGCGGGTGGGTGCCCGCGTTGCCGCCGCGCGCGGGCATGCTGCTGTTGCTGCCAGCACCGCGCGCTGGCGGCAACGAGGCGGCCTGGCGCGCCGTCCTCAGGGACCGGCTGGCCGCGCGCCCTGGCCCGCCTGACTGGGGCGGGCGGCGCCGGGCGTGCGCGGACGCTGCTCCCTCGCCCCCCCTTTCCCTCCTCTCGTCGTCGTCGTCCGTCGTCTTCCCCCTCTCGCCGCTGGGCTCCGCTGCAATGGTAAAAAAATGGAATCACTTCCGATGGTTTCTTCGGGGGACAATTTTCCAGATTTGGGGGCCTATTTGGAAGGACCGAAAACCGCGCCGTGGCAGGACGCTGGAGATAATGACGCCAGCGCTGCAGCGGAAGCACGATTCGAAACGAGCGGAAGCGCGGAAATGAGGCCAGCGCTGCTGCGGGAGCACGATTCGGAACGAGCGGTGGCCCGAAAATGAAGCCAACGCCTCAGCGAGAGCAGCATTTTTTCTTAACAAGCAAAAACCCGTTTCCCGGGAATCCGGTGTAAAAAACAAATACGCGGAAGGGGGCCGGCCATCTCCCGGACGTCACCAGGGGGGAGAGGAGAGTAGTATTCAGATTGTGAAATTGTGGAGGAGAAGGGAGGGGTGGGGAGGAGAAGGAGAAGTGGGAGACGGATAAGGAGGAGAAAAGAGGAACGACGAGGATGAGGAGGACGAAGACGGAGAAGGAGGAGCAGGAGGAGAAGAAGAATAATGAGGAGGAGACGGAGGAGGAGGAGGAGGAAAGGGAGCGGGAGAGTACGAGGAGGAGGAGAAGGAGGAGGAGGAGGAGGAGGAGGAAGAGAGCGAGGACGACAACGAGGAGGAGGAGGAGCAGGGGGATGAGGGGGAGGAGGAGGAGAGGGGAGGACGGGGGAGGAGGAGGAGGAGGAGGAGGAGGAGGAGGAGGAGGCGGAGCTTCAGAGAGCATCGAGAAGGAGGAGAAGGAGGAGAAGGAAGAGGAGGAGGTTCATGAGAAGGATGAGGATGAGGAGGAGAAGGAGGGGGAGTAAGATGAGTAGGGGGAGGAGAAGAAGGAGAAGGAGGAGGGGGGGCGGAGGCGGAGGAGGAGGGAGGAGGAGGGGA